ATTCACAGTGTTGCAAATTTAAGTTTGAAGAATAAACTACTACTCTTTATGTTTATTATTGTTTTTGGTATATCTTCACAGTGTAGTTTTTGGTATCTAACTTAGTATGTTTATTGTTTTTGTAGAACTTTTATTCGGCTCAATTGACCTTAAGAAATAAAGTCAGCCTGGCCAAAACAATTGCGTCGAAGCTTTCACCTGCACAAAGAAAAATGTTTGAGGATACTTGCTTCGGGCCATGGCTGAAAGTACAACATCCCGGTGGAGATGCGATGTTGACACACCTGTTTCTTCAAACCATGACTAGCGATCTACCAGATACTATACAACGTCGTGATGAAGAGATATGGTTTGATTTTCCACCGGCGTATACGTGTTTTGGGTGGGAGGAGTTTTGCTTAATCACCGGTCTACGCTTCGGACACGATGATGTAGGTCGGTACACTAGACGCATTACCCGCCCATGGTTATCCCGGGTTTTTCCTGAGCTGGAGAGGCCGAATTTACACGTGGAAGACCTGACGAGATATTGAATAAGAAAGATGGTTTTACTCGGATGGATGACGTCGATGTTGTCCGAGTATGCCTTCTAATACTTTTGCATACCAGCTTTTAGGCAGAGCCAGACAACCTATTCCGAATGATCTAATCAATTGGTAGAAGACCTAAATGCGTGGAACATGTTTCCGTGGGGCTCGTATTTATGGAAAGCTACATGGAATAAGTTATCGTCGCCTTGGATGATCGAAAAAGTTTGCATGGCGATGGTTCCAAATACACTTTGACAGGCTTTATTTGGGCCTTTAAGGTAAGAATTTTTATATAATGTTTCTAAAATTATAAGTAATTATTTAACAATTACTAATGTTTGTTATTATATTGTTTGTAGATTTGGATATTTGAGGCCTTTCCCGCCATGAAGACATATGCAATAAAAACTTCAAATGATATTCCCAAGGCTATTTCCTGGAAGAGGAAACGGACCTTGCAATGGGAAGATTTACTACGGTATACGACAATAAATAATGTAAGTTAACATAAATACTACCATATGTTTATAAACAAGTTATTACTAGTACACGTTTAACTTTGTTTGAGCTTTTATTGTTAGGAGGCCAACACTCCATTACAGAGGCTGACACCCACGGAAGCTAAGCTTGCCACTGATTGGTGGCAAGCTAGTAAGCGTTTTTTTGATGGCACGGATGATGAGCAGCCTCCACTTCGGGAGCCATCACCTCACCCAGAGCCATCACCTGATCGACCGACTATACACCTCCACAACAACCATCACATATTCTGTCACATCATCGAGCCTCTTCTCCACCATCACTGCAAGATAGGCGACCGGCAAAGATGCCACGATGTTTATCTCCCTGTTCTCCAGCTCTACCTCCACGGGATGAGTTAGGGGAGTTACGTGATGAGGTCAATGCCTTGCGTGAGGAGGTCGGTACTTTACGCAAAGACGATGGTGCATGGCATGTTGAGGTGTCTACTTTACGCGGTGAGGTAGCCGCTCTACGTGAGATGGTAGCATCGTTGCAGAATGAGGTTCATACTCTACGCAACGAGGTAAGTTTAAGATTTTTCATATTTAACTTGATGATAAATTTACTCGTAATTTCACTTAGATTAACCATTTCACTTAGATTGCTTAATAAATTCATCGGTTGCTGCTAATACTGCTAAACTGTTTTTGTTAGTATTTGTTTTTGGTTTTGTTTTTGTCTTTTGGTTGAAGTAATGCAATCCATTCAAGTTTCAATTTGCAGAAGAAGAATAGTTACTTTCGCAACACGAAATGACTATCGCAACACGGAAATGGCTATCGCAATGCGAAATGAAATCGCAACGACAAAATCGCAATGCGAAATGAAAATCGCAACGACAAAATCGCAACGCGAAATGAAATCGCAATGCGATTTGTGTTTCGCATTGCGATTTGTCGTTGCGATTTTCATTTCGCATTGAGATTTTGTCGTTGCGATTTTCATTTCGCGTTGCGATAGCCATTTCCGCGTTGCGATAGTTATTTTCGCGTTGCGAAAGTAAGTTTCGTGTTGCGAAAGTAAACTATTATTCTTCTGGAATGTTTATATATGTTGTCCTTTTAAATGTTTATATAAGTGCTTACTTCTGGAATGTTATCTGATGCATTTTGTGAACTATGATAGAATAATGACTTGGGTGAATACAATGCAAGTTTGAAACATATTTGTCTTTGTTTAATATCATGTCTGTTTATTTACTGATTTATGTATTAATTTTTTTGGCGGCCCGATAAGGTGGATGCTTTACGTCGGGTTTTCCTTGCCGACGGAGTTCACGCATTAGACGGCGTGCACATGTTATTACGTCTCCGTTCACCCCAATGGTGCGAAGACTCCGCAAGAAGAAGCCCGACTCACCTGTCATCCCTCAAGTCCCCTCCAATCGTTCAAGAGGCCCCTATCATCCCTCAAGAGTCCCCCCCACCGTTCAAGAGGCCACTGTCATCGTTGAAGAGTCCCTCCCACCATTCCAGAGCCCGATTCACATGGGTAATATCTAGGGGTTTGAAGACAGTGGCTATTTCGATGGGGAGGTAAGTCTTATATTTGTCTTATATATGATTTTGATTAACTTTTTTAAAAATTAATGTAATTCACTAATATATGTCTTTTTTTGTAAAACACATATCGATGCGTGGGTGTCACGTCTTCTAATAATAAGGAAGCTTAGGAAAAATAAAAAAAAATTCGCGATATACAGAATGCCGGTGACTTTTCACGCAGTTCACTTGAAGAATCAACGAGATGAATCATTTTCGTTGGGCAATGGACAAGCTAAACTTATCCTGCATGGTGGGAGGTCAATAAGGTTAGTCTTTTTTTTTAAATTTTTTAAAGGTGTTCATAAATAAGTGCGCAAATAAATGAATTATTACTTATGATTGCAGGTGTTTATCCCTGTTTTGGAACGTCGTCATTGGCTTCTCGTCCAACTTCAGCTCCCATCCCTGAAGATATATATGACAGCATGATAAATTACATATCACTGTCTGATTTGAGAGATATTATCAAGGGATGGAGCTCTCATTTGGCTAAATTTTGGACTCATTCTGGACACAAGAAGCCAAAAAAGTTCAATGTCACAGTTGTCAGACGAGACCCGCGTCACAACAATCGCCGGGAGCCAGAGGGATTGTGGTCCTCTCGTATGCATGTGCTTGGCGCGTTTGACGACGAGAAGCACAGAGTTTTCTACCTCCCACCGATAGAGATAGAGCTGCAGTAGGCTTGTGGTTTCGGCATTATATGGCTAGAGCGATATTTCGAGACGCTACCTGCATCCGCGTTATGAAAGTATCCATTGTTAATTGGTAAGTCAAATGCAAGTTTTGTTAACATATATACTCCTTTTGGTTTGAAAATGTTTGGTTAAGTACCTATAATTTAATAATTTGTTGTTTATAGGTTTTAGATGTGTAGGAAGTCTTGTTTGAGCAAATGTTTAATTTCTGCAGGTTAATCCTTAAGTGAGCTGCGTGAAATGGATGTACGGTGCAAAAGTTGATTCATTGATTCAATAATTGATGAGGAAATAAGAATTATTATTATTTTTTGATTGTTTATTGATTTGTAAAAAATGATTTGTAAATGTTGATTTGTTTAATTGATGTGTACATAATTCTTATTTGTGCTTGTTTAATTGATTGAAATGTAATAGTTGATTTGTTGATTTTCAGTCTGCATTATGTTGAAGGCAAAACAGACTATCGCAACACGAAATTGACTATCGCAACGAGAGAATCGCAATGCGAAATGAAATCGCAATGCGAAATGAAAATCGCAACGAGAAAATCGCAATGCGATTTTCATTTCGCATTGCGATTTTCTCGTTGCGATAGCCATTTTCCGGTTGCGATAGTCATTTTCGCGTTGCGATTTCCCCGTTTGCGATAGTCAAATGAATATCTAATAAGTGATAACAACTGAACAGATCATAGCAATGTTCAAACTCAAGTTACTAATACATGCCTAACTGAAAATGTTAAAGTGCACACATAAAATACACATAATACAACGTTTGCATTTAAAAATCACCTAAGTTAACAGTCCCAAAAGGTGAAGCCGGTTGTGATTGGGATTTTGAAGATGATTGCGATTTTGATTGCCTTTTGCTTGACACCATATGAGCTTTGGATTTTGATGAGGATCCATATTTTGGTAGAGGAAAAGATGATTGTGATGGCACTGGTGAACCACATGTCAACCTTGTATGACCACTTTCCTTGCACCGACTACATGTCGATATCTTCTTCTCTTCACCCTTAGACGGTATACGATCGTGACTTTTTGGTCGGCCAGGTAGCCTTCTGTCCATGGCTAATGGCAAAACTGTTTGTAAGTCATCTGGTATGTCCCACTCAGAAGGATGTTGCGAAACTAAAACATGTTGCGAACTTTGAAAATCGCATTTCAATTATGTATTATCTCGTTGCGATACTCAGAATCTCGTTGCGATAGTCAGAATCTCGTTACGAAAGTCAGAATCGCGTTGCGAAAGTTAGTATCGCGTTGCGATTTTGTATTATCGCGTTGCGATTTTGTATTATCGCGTTGCGATAGTCAGTATCGCATTGCGATTTTCCAAATTCGCATTGCGATTTACTTATTCGCATTGCGAATTGAGAAAATCGCAACGCGAAATTGGAAAATCGCATTGCGATAGTCATAATCGCGTTGCGAATCTGGAAACTGATTTGCGATAATGAAGATCGCGTTGCGAATTAACGATCGCATTGCGATTTTGTTGGTCATTTTGACAAATCCGAAAAAAATTGGTTAAAATCGTATATTATATGAGATTTTTGGTCACTGAAGTTATTTTCTCATTTTTTTAATAGCGGGAGATGGCGCCCACTAGTCTTAAGGGCGTTCAGCGACAGGTGCCTCCAAACCGAAGATCCTATTTTGAACTCGAGTTCTTTTTTAACGAGGACAAAGGCCCTTACACATTGATAATTTGGGAGTGGGATGAGATTACAATGATTTGGATCTTGCTGCTCACTCATTTTGTCAAAAACAAAGTCACCTGTTCATTAATTAAAGGCAATGAAAAACTTCATTATACCTCACTTTCATGTACACCGAGTCTTCTTCGCCTGCATCAAGACGATGCACATACTGCTACAAAGATAAAAATTGTAGGGCGGGGTAAGTCGAACAAACGTATCAATGGATGATCATCTAGGTCTGCGGGTCAGTTCGATACAGTGTTGCCCACTCCGATCCTCGTCAGCACCAGCATTCTGTTATAACAAAACAGCTAATCTAAAACAGAAGATAAGGCTGTACAGGATATTTGATAACTTCTCATGGTATCCTACACGCATCACTTCACTCGCTGCTTTATGAGTCCCTGGAGAAATCATTTTCAATGTAAAATGAAATGCCTGCACGAGGAGAAAAAGAAAGTTTTATGCAGTAAATTGCTTTGCAGTCAACGATTTGGTACTTGAATTACACATACCACAAATCTCTCCAACACAGGTACCAGACGACAGGCTGTGCTTTGCGAGATAATTGGCGATTGCATTTCGTGTGCTTTTACTGTTGATGACAAAGTGTAAAAACAGTTTAGAAAAAAAACAAGGAAACTGGGCACTGAAATATCAAATATACCGACCTTTCAGCAGAAAGAAAAGCAAGTAGTAGGGCTGCATAGGCTTCTAAAATCATTTTCTCCGCTTCTTTCTCTTCTTGTAGCATAGCAGCGTCGCCATTCGTATAATCGAACACAACAAAGGTATAGGCAAGTCAATGATGATAAATTCTTCAAGCACACTAGTGCCAATAAGTGCTCCGAGCCATGAAAACTAGAGTAAAAGAAGACATTAAAGGGAAAGGAGGGAGGTTCTCACCGAAGAAAGAATTTCTCCAGCAACATCATCTTCTCCTTGGTTTGCAAGGAAGATAGCACATAGCAGAGGAATCACAGCCATAGGACTCCCCTCTCTTAATCCTTTTGAATTTGGTAAGGAAACAGGAGCTGCTGCAAGCCATGATCTACATAGACTTATGACACGTAATTGTTAATGTGATGTTTATGAATATAAAAAAGGCATAAAATGCCCTCAACCCTGATTTGAAAGCCACAGCACTGAATGCAAAGAAGGTACATGAACCTGTTACGTTCATCCTTCTCCACTAGGTTCACAAGCAAACCCAGTATTGCTACAAGGAAATCCAACTCTGGAACGGTAAGAGGTCTGTCCTGGTTGGGGAGTTCTACAATAAGAGAATCGCTTCCATTTCACTGCTGTGCGGCAAATATGAGCAAAATGTAGCGTAGTGGCAGGCAATTAAAGTAGACAAGGTCTCTAGGGGCCCCGAAGCAGCAATTTGCCGACAGCCGAGTGGATTTTCATTTGTTAAATTCATCAAAACCTGCCAAGATAACACCATCACTGATCAAATAAACCATTAGTTTAAGAGAAAACATATAGAAGATCAAAATGTTGTACGCAGCAAAGCCAGTTTATGCAGTCCATTAAACAGACCCGTCAATCCTATCAAAACAATTGAAGGATTCACGAAGCAGACCAAGGAAAATAGGTACTTTCTGCCTCATTGTAATATGCATATTATAACACCTTGAAGCCAAAAACAACTGTGCAAAGATAGGATGAAATGTGAACTACATCTTTCGGAATACCTTGACAGCAGCAAGAAGGCAGTCCGAAAGAAGGCTGGAATATTCTTCTTCAGCATACTGAGAACTAGAAGTTGCATTTGAATGATTATAGTCTTCATTGATAGGGTTGCCCTGGAAATTTTCCTCACTAGTTGATCCCTTTTGGCTCATTGTAAATTGGCATTGATGCTCAATTTGGATTTCTCTATTTCTAGGCCCAAGTTTCCTATTATTTTTAGTTTGGGATGTCCTTTTTCTCCCAGAGAGTAAATTCCATTTTGAAGGAACAATCTTCATCAAATGCAAAGGACCTGACTATCATCTAAAAGTTGACATTCGCCATTCTTTGAACCATCAGGTCTATCAGAAAGAGTCCCTGACCATTGCTTGTTACAGGCATTCATATGAACTTCCTAATTTCCCACTACATGTGCTGGCCAAGGAAGAATCGATTCTCATCTTTAGTAAACGATTATCATTCATGGAAGCACTTTCAGTTTGAAACTGGGTTCATGATGACCCAACCACTGAGGAGAGGGCCCAGGATCATTCTGAGAGTATTGAAGCTCATTTCAGAGGAGGACCAGTCAATGCTTGTGGATTTATCAGACGAACTGATGAAGATAACATAATGTTTATCCACTGCAAAATTGAAAGAATTATCAAGTTGAACAACAGTCACTAGAAAGATATATTTTGCTTAATATATCAGGCTGTCTAATACCTTTACAATCTGCGTTTGAGCAAATTCATTGACATCACCCATTGCTTTAGAATTACCACAAGTCTTTTCATTACTGACAATCCACAAGAGCTCTTACAGTAAAGGACTGGAAAAGACGACATTGGTTAACCAATTGTAATAAATATTTCAAAAGATAAAAAAAGAGAAGCCATTTTGAGGTAGTAATCGCACAACAGTAACCTAAGAGAATCTTGATTACACTTATAACGACTTCGTAAAAGATAGTCGAGATCCATGAGAGTTCAATTTCCCTTTCATTTCTAGCAGATGACTCTACAATAAAAGTAAAGGAAACAGTCTTAACAGCTTAAAACAAGCGAGGTTTAGTAATACAAATCAAGCATAAAATGAAAATGAAAACATAATAACTGAAAATCACAACTTAAGTACTGTTATCACTACTAAGAAATGCCGCATTTCCATTTTGAAATGCCGCATTTTCCATTATTTTCAAATATTTTGAAAGCAGAGCTAGGCTCTCCAGGTCCTTTTTATTTTCGGTAAGGGGAGAAGATAATTCTGCTCCACCCAATCCTACAGAGATAATGCATTATGTGACAAACATGAATATGAATATCTTCATGTAAATGTAAGAGTTGGAACTCAGAACCAGAAGACTTTCCCAATATTTAAAACAGTATTTTCTAATCTTCTTCAGTTGAAATGCAACAAGAATGGCACTCCATGGCCACTTCAAAGACAGCATCAGCTCTCTAGTTTTCTCCTTGAAATTACCCCCAATTTTTCTTACAGAACTAGTTGCATCTGAATGAATGATACCAGACAAAAAAACATGAAAGCAATCAGTAAAGAGTGAAAAGAGAACCTGATTGTGTGTGAGTGTGTATTTTATTTGTACATATGTAGTTCCAACACAAAATCTATAAATAAATACTATAAATCTAAGATATTTCCATTAAACCTTCAAGAAATTTTAGACAAACAAGCTTTCTCCAAGTCAACAAAGCTATCCATTTGGGACTTAATTCTGGCCTTCTTAACCACTATCATCTCCGCATCTTGACTTCATTTCCTTGCAACTAACGAGTATTTCCTCAACTTTGGAAATAATGGCTGCAGAGCTTGAATCCAACACTTGAATTGCATCCCGTAAGATGTCAGCATCCTTGAGTAATCCCAAAAGCTTAAAGCTCACTTCTCTGTTTTTGTTTTCTTTAGCAGGGGGGTAATGGGCTTTAAAATTTTAATAAGAAACCGAATGCAACAAGGTGACTCCAGGAGATGGTCACTTGACCCTGACACAATAAATTCATACAAACCTTGAAGACTATTGTAATTTACTGTTGAAAGTAGAGGAATTCTTTATTATTTTCAATATCTTAAAACAGGTTACACGTTCCCTATATATATAGATGCTGAAACACCTAATTTCTAGGGATATGCAACTTACCTAGAATAGGTCAAATCATCTAAAACAAAGAAATAAACAGGAAATAAATATATACGGATATGGTAACAAGCTACCAGAATCCCCTAAAAATATGGAATCCCCAAAAGCCGGATCAGTGACTAAAATGTAATTTGGAAACTGTGTGCTCAATTTTGAAATAAGTTAAAAGTGTTGGGATTTAAGTAAAGAATTTTGATGATGGATTGAATAGCATAGATGGATAATTAAAGGGGTAATTTAGTCTTTTCAGATTAAAGGATATTTTGTATTCCTTTAAATACAGGTGATATACGTGGGTTTTTGGGAGAGTTCTGGAAGCCTTCTTCTTGCTCTCTTCTTCTTCTCGTAGCCCAGCTTAAAGGTAAGTTTGATTTTAACTGTTAATTTCTGGAATTTAGTTGGTTTTGAATCTTTGGGGGTTATATAAGCTTAAGGAAAGCTTGTATAAACTTAAAACATCAAGAAGGGAGAATTAGAAAGGAATTTCTATTAAGAGATTAGAAATGAAGTTTTGATATAGAAGGCTTTTTGAAATTCTAAGGATGAATTTGACTTGTCATCAATCTAATTAAGAAGTATAAGTGTTAGAATTGGAATTAGAACATTGAAAATTTGGTATGATTTTTGAATCTCGTATGGAATATAGGATTTTGAGGTTTAAGATGAAATAAATGAATATATGAGTTTAAGTATGTATGAAAGTTGGGAATATTAAAGGAATGAAGTAGATGTGTGAGCTGAAAATGAAGGATTTTCGAGCTCAAAATATGATTTCTGGGCAAGGGAATCGGTACCCATTCAAGGGGAACCGATACCCCTTCAAACGAACAAGAATTTCCAGTATGTCATGGGGGAACCGATACCCCCATAGGGGGGAACCGATTCCCCTAAAGGAAAATTGGAATATGGGTTTAATAAGTTAATTTAAGTTGCTAGTATCCAATTACAAGGTGTAGGTACCTAATGATGGTCTCGAAATGTACATTTATGTAGATTCTACGCATAAAGCAATTCCGGAACGTTTGGCAAGTAAGATCGATCAAGGGAAAGATAAGAGATTGGAATTGGCTAGTGAGGCCAGGTGAGTGCATATTAGTTAGTTTATGGTGCTAAATGGAAACAAGACTTGCGACAAGTCTATTTCCTATGTTAGAATGCATGAATATATGATTATACGTATATGAATGACATGAATTGTATGTATGCATGAATATATGTGTTGACATGCTTTTGAATGTAATGTTATGAGAAGTATGTGCTATATAATGTTATATATACATATGTGAAACTGAAACTATGTGACTGCATGAGAAAGATATGAGCCATATGACATGATATAGGTGAACATGAGAAAGCAAAGTATGAGATATAAAACTATGTGATCATAGTAAAATATTATTTATTATATGATAAGTGAAATAAGCTGGATATATTGATCTATAGGATGAAGTGAAAATAGTACACTAACTAGGGGATTGAAAAAATGATAAGATGAACGTATAAGATAGCTAGATGGGAAAGATTCATAGGTTTAAATAAACTATAACACATGGGTTGAATGATAGAAATTTGTGAAGTTATGAGAAGATTATAAGAGTGATATGAAATTGAATTAAGTAACAGATTAGATTATATATAGAAATAATAGAAGTGAGATATGTTATAAGTCTGCCCTAGATGAATACGAATATAAGAGTGCTATATGATTTATATTAGGATAATCTTGAGGATATAGATATATAGATAGATATGAAATGAAATGAAATGAGTTATATGAATACACAATTATGTGATGAAATGGTGAATTACCTGAACATGTGAATATATATATATATATCTATATTTTAAGAGAAGGCATAAGATTAAGATATAAGCAATATGACTTATAAGTATTGCTATTATAATGTTACATGATATGTTATGTATGTTAAAGGAATTATGTGATGGTATAAGAAATGCTATGAAATATATTGTGAAAACAAGTATATGTTATGAGATAAGACTATGACTATAAGCTACGTGAAAGTGTTCTAGGTGTTTCGATATATTATATGAAGTATATGATCTTATGTGAACAAGATATGATAGTATGTTTAATGAATAAAGGTGATTGGGTGAGAAATGATAGAAATTATATGAAAACATGACATATGTGACATGTGAATTATATGGAAATGATCTACGTGCAAGTGAACTATGGGACTATGTGATCATATGAAAAGAAGCTATGTGATACGTGATATGTGAAAGTGAATTACAAGTTTATGTGAATATTGAAATGAATAAATGATAACGCCCATGTTGTGTCATGAGAGCTAGGGGTATAGTTGGCATGCCAAGAGTCGAGGGTCTATTCGGTTCTTAGGACATATGTATATTCTTTGGAACATGTGTGAAGTCTCGAAAGACACATACTTGATCCCTAGCATATATATGATTCTTAAGGAATTCTACGTGGTCCTTATGGACATCATTATATGGCACTACGGTGCATTCTACGGGCACTTCGGTGCAATTCTACGGGCACTTCGGTGCAATTCTACGGGGCACTTCGGTGCATTTATACGAGCTGTGGTGACAGCATAGTGCACAACCTCTATAGACTCACATATCGATAGTTCTCACATATATACATGGGCTAATCCAGAAATATGAACAAATATAAGTTAGTGGTATGATAAATGCTATAGAAATGATATGATGTTGTGTGTGTATAGTGTTTGATTGAAATAGTATGTGATTATATGATAAAATGTTAATGATGAACTATGTGTATGCATGTATTTACGCAATTAATCTGATATGATTTTATACGATATGAAAAATGCATGAAGTTGCTGTAACATGATAGAACAGACTGCATGTATCAATAGGTTTTAAAGTGCATTAAGTTGTTATGCCTCACTATGTCTTCGACTTAGCGTGTGATTGTTTCACACGTAGGTTCGAGAAGAGTAAGGAGTGATGCGGAGCAAGACAGGTCAGTTTTCCTTACCAAAAGATCAGATCAGAAATATTTGACAAAGTATGTTTTTGGTTATGTATAAAGTGTTGGCATGTAATAAGTCATTAAGTACGAGCACTCTGATAAAGTTTGTATTTGTTTTAATAAAGTTTTAAATTCCCGGGATTTTTCTTAAGAGTCAAGGTTTGAAAAGTCAATGTGACACTTCGGACTCGTATCGGGTCGGATACGGGTGGGGGTGTTACATTTAATGGTATCAGAGCTATGGTTTAGCCGATTCTCGGCATAACCGAAGTCCAAAGTGTCATAAAAGGTGTACATGCCAACATAGATTGAAAAATTTCTGATCTGATAGTGTAAGGAATACGTTGTCTTGCTAATAAAATAAGAATAGTTTAATACAGTAGAAATCCGATCGTGATAATTTCGAAGTAAGTGAAAGGTGATATTCCTGATGGTGATAGCTATTCACTTGCCCTGGCCAGGCAGGATGAAGAGCGGACACCTCAGAAATGCCTAGTAAGATCAAAAGTTGATTTCCGAAAGTGAAATCATATTGAATAATGATAGAAAATTTTCATCGTTGGAATCGGAAAAACGATGTAGAGTAGTTTTGCTATTATGTGAATAGATAGAATATGGTGAACGGGTGTCACCATAAGAATGTTAAAAGATCTAATGACGTGATGATTACGTATAGAAGAACTCAAGGATAAGTGCATCAGTGACAAGTGTATAGATGTATATGTCAGAGCTTATGAGTTGGAACGAAGTGATAATATTGCGCATAAACAAGAGTATGTTTATGATAGGGTTTGCAGTTAAGATGGAAAGAGTTAGCATTGGCTACCTAGAGTATGTGATAAAAATGTACTGAAGTATAAGATATAAGATATTTTCAGGATATAATAACCAGATCTGCAATGGATCTGGATACAGTTGCATATTTGGATCATAGTAATGTGGTATAGTAAAGGAAAAGGAAGTAAGAATGGGTATATTTAAATAAAGCTGAGGATTGATAAGAAGAGTTTGAGAATATGATATCGATGATCAGATTATAGGACACAGGAAGTCAGAATGTTGAGTTTGAATAAAAGAAATTTCGGGATATATGAGAATAGAGGTGAAATTGATAAGTTGAGTAAGTGAATTTTAAGATAATTTCGATTTGACAGGATGTATGTGTTTGGTTGATTAGGGTTTGTACCCTAGATTGAACATATATATTGATAGCTGTCAGAGTAAAAGGGATAGAACAATAGGATTGAAGGAAAAGATAAGTTGAGTTAATTGATTATGATGTGAATTGAATATGGTTGTATTCTGAGCATAGCTATGATGTGAAACTGAGTAAGTGTTTGCATGGAATCTTCAGGAAGAAAAATACAAGTATAAGAATGATAAAGAATGAAGTTATGTATAAGAAATGGGTTATTAAAGTAATGAGGATGCAATGAAGATGGTACATAAAGATGAGTATAAGTAATAAGACAAGAGTATGTGAACATGAAAGGAAATATAAGATTTATGTAGAAGGAATAAGGAATAACGAAATGAAAGGGATTGATTTAAAGGATCAGATACGATGAATATGGAAGTACAGAGGACAATTTTGATATGGAAATAAGACCAGTGTGCAAGGTGAGGTGAAAATATTGTTTGACTCCTTAAAGTATATGTTTATCACATTGAAGAAGATTTAAAGTTGTGTTTTGGTCAATGATGACAAAATACAAGTTTGGTATGGTTTAAGGTAATTAAAGATTGATAAAGAATTTGATGGATTAAGGATTTGAGTAATGAGAACTGATGCTATTGGTTATATGATAAGCAACAGAAGATGAGTGTATAAACGAAAAATATAGTTGGAACTTAAG